GCCTAAAAGTGGGTCAAGCATTTTTTTCAATTGCAGATAGTGATACTGAACTCCTTTTCAATCTTTAGAACAGTGTTTCTTGACCTTGGCAACTTTAAGATGTGTGGACTTCAACTCCCAGGATTCCCTAATCAGCCATGCTGACTGGGGAATTCTGGGAGTTGAAGTCCACACGTCTTAAAGTTGCCAAGGTCGAGAAACACTGCTTTAGAATTAAGGCAGAGCAACCATCATGTGGCCACCTTGGATGTGTGGATCATGAGCTATTCTCTCCCCTTTTGGGATGCCTGGAGCCATAACTGCTGATAGGCCAGTCCTGCAGAGATTACTGCTTTTCAAATCTAAATTCCCAACCCACAGATGCTAATGGATTAGCAGCAAAGGTTGATCTTGAAGAAATCTAAGCAGGCTGGCTCTGGCTAGAAGAAAAACCAGAAAATCCCAAGACTGTAAGATAACTAGGAAACTGAAAAATATCCCCCTAGAAGATATGCATATTCCTGCCCCCCCAAAAAAGAACAAACCCTTAAATGAATATGTCCAGGTACATTGTGAGGATTTTGTATATGGAGATCAGGGATCCCTGGCTATACAGTATGACCAAGGAAAGGGAATTATAAACTGCAGCCATGTTATATATTTGGCTACAAGAAGAATCCTACCGGATCGTTCTACCTAGTCCAATAGACTATTTTGAGATGCCTCCAGAAGCTTTCCAACTAAAGTGTTAAGGTTACAGGTAGTCCTCATTGAACAACCACTCATTCAGCAGCCATTCAAAGTTACGAATGAGGGGGACTTACAACAGGTCCTTGTAGTTCCAACCATTGCAGCCTTCCTGCAGCCACGAGATCATGATTCAGGCACTTGGCAACCAGCTTGCAATATGATGGTTACGGTATCCTGTGGTCACGTGATGGCCATTTGTGACCTTCACTGCCAGCTTCCAACAAGCAAAGTCAATGGGGAAGCCAGCAGGAGGTTGAAAATGGCCATCACATGACCACAGGACACTGGGACCATGTGGGATTCACCTAACGACAGCAACTGGAACTATCGCAACTGCTGTTGTAAGTTGGCGAGGTCATGTGGCATCATGCTTTACGACCGTGTTGGTCAGCAATGGAGTTGCTAGTCCCATCATTAAGGGAGGTCTACCTATGTAGCCTCCCTGATTGTTTTTCCTCCCTACTTCCTTTCAGAGGTGCACTGAAAGTCTACCTCAAAGTCCATTGGAGTTGGGCGGCTAATCTATTCAAATAAAATAAAAATAAAATACTGCTTCCGTACTACCTCTCTGTTTACTTGCTTCCGTGGTTATCTGTTTACCAGCTGTCCAAACATGGCCTCAGCACTTTTTAAGGATTGGTTGCATGCCAATCTTTATTGGCAATCTACCAATTTATTGGTATACCAAAATACCAATTTATTACCAATTCTTTATTGGCAATTTACCAATCTACAGCCTCTTTCTCTTCACTGGGGGTCCTTGCATTTTTGCAAGCTGAGAGTTTCAGGCAGTTCTCTTCCCTTTCTCTACAGGCTGATTCCATCTATGACATGATTGGCTTCCCCGAGTTCATCCTCGACAACAAGGAGTTAGATGATGTCTATGATGGGGTAAGAAATTAAGGCAGCAGCATGAAAGTCATGGAGATTGCTCAGGGTCTGGTTGTCTTGGAGAAAGAACAGAAACTGCTTCAGTTTTCCTTGGTATGACACTGGGGGTTCAAACATTGTGTGAAATATGGTTTGTTCAGCTTCTTGTCTCATATATTGTGTGAACCCAGGCTTTGTAGTTTGTTAATTGGTTTATGGCTTAAGGGCGAGTTTGCACAATGCAGGAGATGAGACTAAAATGGTTTGGGGATAATTTGTGGATCAGCGTGTTGTAAGAAGCCAGCTCTTGTTTTAGCAATCTCTGCAGATCAAGCCACCTTATGGCCAATTTTTTGGGGCCTATGTGAATATTTGTGCTTTCTCCTTTAGATCGTATTCACTGGAAATGCTAGATTTTCAGCATTCAAAGCACATTATTGAGCAATGGCGCTTTCCCTGTTGTAAGGCTGAAATGTGTTTCTTTCCCTCCCTTTCTTCTTCTTCTTTCTAGTATGAGGTCTCTGAAGACTCCTTCTTTCAGAACATGTTGAATTTCTACAATTTCTCTGCCAGGTTTATGGCAGACCAGCTGAGGAAGCCCCCTAATCGGGACCAGTAAGGATTCTTCTCCCCAACTGCCCAAGTCATGGCATGGGATAGGAATAGGAAGTGAGGATGAATGCCCTAGATTTCACACTACAATGTAGGAGGAGGAGTTAGACAGTCCTGGGTCAAAAGTCAATGGTGAGACTAGGGTTCAGGAAAAAAGAGTTCCAGTATCTGTATCAAGGTTCAGTAAAGCATGATTCATGTTCTGGCAGAGGTGAGATTACTAGGTTAGTCACAACAAGGGTTGTGTTCAAGACCTAGAGCAAAGGGTCACTGAATTTATTTCAGCACCTGACTGCTCCTAGACAGAGGCTTTTACTCCAGAAGTTCCCAGCCTCTACCCAATGACAATATATACTACTCCAAATTGCTTAAATGTGTTTCGGTTACTGAGAAGTCATAGCCTGTTTCTTGAAAGAATCATTCCCAAAGATGATCTGCCAGAACTTACTTTCTTTGTCTTTTGGTCCTCAAGGCATTAGGATCAGAATTGCAAAATTGGGGGCAAAAGAAATCTGTTCTGCTAAGGGTCTCAGAGCTAACTCTTGGCTCCTTGGGAGGAGGTCATTAAGTGTGTTGGGCTTTCTGCTCAAACTTACTAGAAGCCATTGAGATTCAACCTGGCACCCGTAGATAAGAATCTTTATTGCACACTTGGTTGAAGCCACTTTAAGCAGTTGATTATCCTCTGTCAACATGAGAGGGCTGTTCCCTTTTACACCTACTTCAGTCCAAACCCAGAACTTCTTTCTCCCACCTTTCCCGCAGCTTACTAGACACCCTGCTTTGCACTACTGAGTCTTGGCACTAGGTGGCTATGGGTTGTTGATATAATGAACGTTCCTGCCCTGGGAAATTCTAACTCTCAGCACAACTCCCACAATGTTCTTTATTACTCTTGCTCCTCCTTCTCTTCCAATGCATTCCAAGGAAGATGGAGCATGTGGGAGAGTTAACACCAGCCTTTGAGAAGGGACTGAGTCCCATCGTGAGATATTTATTTTGCTGGGGTAGTCCATTAATGGGCTTACATACAATAGCTGTAGCCACAAGCAGCTACAGCCATCTTTTCCAATTCCTCCCAATGCCTTGAACCATATAAAAGATGCTGGGAATGACATTACCTGGAGAAAACTCCATTTGAGCTACATAGGAAGAGGAGGGAAATCATCTGAACCTTATAACAGACATCAGGAATGGGATCTGAATAAATGCAAATAAAAATGTGATCTGGCTATATTTGGAATGTTTTTACTTTGAGAAAGTTGCAGGGGAGGAATGGGTCAGTGAATATGATGGGTTGCCTGAACTTTGAAGAAGTTCAGATGGACAAAAGGAGAACAAGGGCCTCTTTTTCTGGATTGTGTCACACTGAGTTATGGAGGGGAGGCTAATCATATAATGTAGGGCCTTGGCTGTTGAGCAAACAAGTAATAATACACGTAGAAAGTTAGCATACTGTATTGGGGAGGTTAGGTCCAAAACTTTTTTAAGATGCAAATGATGAAGGGGTTTGGTGTGTCCCCCTGTCCCCAAGAACAAGACTAGGAATTTGAAGTAGAACAGACTAGAAGGAGTGGGATCAAGGTGTCCTCCAGAAAGGGCAGCTACATGTTTAGTTTTGCTAGACATAGGTCTGCCTCAACGGGGCTGGCTCCACCAAATTGTTGATGTTTGTGATGCTTTTCCAGGTGGAGCATGACCCCACAGACAGTCAATGCTTATTATCTGCCCACCAAGAATGGCATCGTCTTTCCTGCGGGGATCCTCCAGGCTCCTTTCTATGCTCACAACCATCCCAAGTGCGTCAGGGTGCAGTGGTGATTGGTGGGAAGAAAAGACTTGGGGCATGGTAGTGTACAGGCATTCTCAGTTTGGCCCTTCTGATTAAATGTTCAGGTTGCAGAGAACCACAAGGTATGTGCATGGGTTGGTGGGACTCAAATTCAAAACATTAACTTGATTCTGATAGGAAGGTAATGTGTAAGCCTCTACCTTTTCCCCTTGTAGAATGCCCACACTGGAGTAAGATTTCTTGCACGCCAGTCTAGCCATTCGATCTAAAATCGTCATCTTTTATTCATTGGATTTTTACAGAGAATCTAGAGATTACTGCAACAGTGCAGTTTCAGTCAATTGTCTTTCTCTTCTGTCAATGTTTTTAACTAGACACTTCTTCCAAACATTGTTTCCTGTTCAGCAGGGCATGCCAATTTGTCTTTAGTCAGTTCCCGTTCCTTTGTGGAAAGGGAGAAACTTTAATTGCCAGTTGCTTTCCAGTATTAATAGTTTTTCACACTGTGAAATAATGCCATTGGATGCTTTTTTTTAAAAAAAAAAAAGCTGAAGTGCCTACAATAAACTATGCTAAAAAGGCCTAAGAAATATGTGCTACGATGTGTAATAAAGGGAACTTGCCTTCTGTTTTTGATTCTATGTCTTAATGTGCCTTATTTGAAAGACTTGTCCTTCCATCTATCTGCAATATTCAAAGGCTGTCCTACTGCTTCATCTGTTTTTATTCCCTTTTTTTCCTCGAGGGCCCTCAACTTTGGAGGGATTGGTGTTGTGATGGGGCACGAGCTCACCCATGCTTTCGATGACCAAGGTAACGGCCAGTTATTTCACCTGGTGCTTCAGTGCTTGTGGCTTGCATTTGCCTTGCACATTCTTTTCTTCTAAGTGGGAGATTTTTATTGATGCCTCCCCTCGTGGGCCTTTCGATCCATCACAAATCATGGGAAGCTAATGAGAATCTCCATCTTGTGAATTTTAAGCTTCTTCTTTTTCTTGGTATTTTCTCTCCATTCCATAACACTTCACAACATCTCAGATTCTGCCCAGGTTTTTCATAGTTTGAGAGTTTTGTCACCAGAGGTAGGGCAGAACAGATGCTCTAAGGGGAATCATCCTTAAGCAGTGCAAGAAGCAAGACTTAAATTGTTGTTTCTGGCATTCCATGCGCCATTTTGCCTGGGCATCTGCTTAGAGAGGAGCATTGGACTACCCCAAAGGCCCCCAGCCATTTCCTCTTGAGACTTGGGCCTTTTATTTCATTCCCATTGCATCTGCTTGCCCATTTTTCCCTATGCAAGGAGCTTCCATACAACCATCACTATCAAGTCACCCTCTTCTGCACGGCACAACATCCCGTATATTTGCCCTCCCGTAGTCATCATGTTCCCCCAGGTGATCTGACCAGAAGGTCCAGTGAGCTCTGCCAATGAATGCTATTGTTTTTTTAATGAATTACGATTATTGTTTGTGACCTCAGACATGATGGCTTGGATTGGTAATTGTTGTTTTAACCTTATACGCTGCCTGGAGTCACTGCTATGAGATGGGCAGCCGTATAAATCATTTAAATAAACAAACAAACAAACAAACAAACAAATAAATAAATAAATGTCACTAAGCTGCTTTGTGCTGCTGTATCTGCATGGTGATAATTCATTATCTCTGCATCCTTGACCAGAGCTGGTAGGTAGGACATCATCTTCTACTCCACTGTCTCATAGTCTCCCTAATGCTTAAGACTACTTTGGGATAAAGCCCTAACCCTCACCCCTTTATAACCAGGGAGCTCTGAAGTTGCATACGCCATACATTTCTGTGTGCATTGCGGTGACCGTTGATAAAAATAACATGGGACTCCAAAGACAGCTGTGGCTAGCTAGGAGTTTGGAAATTAAAAAGCATCAACTATTCAGAAATGTCATTGAGGACAACCACCAAGGGAGTGATGTCTAGGCAAAACTCCTTCCATGCCACGAACATTTTGCAGCACAGAAAAAGGGTGGAATATGGCATTGTGGTGGAATCCAGATATCTTTTTAAAATAAGTACCTCTGCCATTGGGATTGAGGGGAAAAATGGCTGAACTTTGCAAGCAATAGCTGGTAGAAATTTTGGATGGGAACTGATGATGGAGTGAGATTCTTTGGGCAAGAGCACACGGTCTGACTTTTCTGCACACACCAGGGCTTATAGGAACTTAATCAGTTCAGCCAAATAGGCAGACCTAAGGACATGTGACCCATTTTCATAACTCAAACCTGGGCACTGAACAATATAGTTGTCTAATTTTGCATGGCATTCTGATTTCTTAACGTAGCACCCAACAGTAACTGAAACTTCTGCTTGTTGACAGTAATTCAGTGGTACTCCAAACACATTGTAAATCCAGCCATCGATGGCTCTAAAATACACAAGTAGGAAAAATCCTTGGAGAATCACTGTAGCCAGACGACTCAGTATATGACAATGTTATATTTTGCTGGGCTCCATTGTTGTTTCGAACCAGCCATCTCTCTTCCTTCAAAACTTCTGAATTATTTTTGGTGGGAGGGAGAACGTCTAATCTGCTGTTATTACCATGTACTATACTGGATGGGTACTCTGGTCCAGCAAAATAATTATATTCCTTCCAGGCCGAGAATATGACAAAGAGGGTAACCTGCGTCCTTGGTGGCAAAACTCATCCCTTGAAGCCTTCAAGAACCGGACTGAGTGCATGGCAGAACAATATAGCAAATACATTGTCAATGGGGAGCATGTCAATGGCAAACAGACATTGGGGGAGAACATTGCTGACAATGGGGGACTGAAAGCAGCTTACAACGTGAGTAAGCCCTTTGGAAAAGTTCTCCACCCCACCAGAACACACACCATGGAAAGCAATCTGGTGGACCTTGAACTGCTTCTTCATCTGAGATCCCAGTTGCCTGGAGGGAGGGGAAGGGTTTGGGCCTGCTGAACCTGGGAGCACAGACTTCACTGTTGTTTGTTTTGCAGGCTTATAAAGCTTGGCTGAGGAAGAACGGGGAGGAGAAACGCCTGCCCTCCGTGGGCCTTACGAGTCACCAGCTCTTCTTCTTAGGATTTGCACAGGTAACACATTTGAATGTTCTTGCCCAAAGCTCTCCCCACTTGCTGTGCAAATTCTCCTGACCAGAGTCTTAAACCTGATGCCTCCCTGTTAACCCTTCAGCCAGAACTAAAGACCTGAGATATCTCAGTGGAAAAGAATTCTGGTGCCCGTTATACCTGAAAACTCATTCTGAGCCTGCTATTGCAGGCAAAGTTCTCAGAGGAGTGTTCTGCTCCAGTGACTTTCTTTTGAATAAGCATGACTAGGGCCCAGTTCATCCTGAAGGACTTGGAATTAGAATTCTGGAACTAAAGACATCACATAGTCCGATGGGTAGCAAGCAAAGGCAACATGGAGGTACCTGTGGATGCTGCTTGAGATATAGGTCAGCTTGACAAAGGAGAGTTAGGGTACATGGCATAGAGTCCCAGCTGTCCCGCATTCCCTCTTCTGCTGCTACTTCTACACATAGACCCCACCCAGCCCAGAAGACAGCGCACTCAGCAGTAATAACAAGAATGAGCATGTTGTGTCCCAAACCTGGCTCACCTAAAACAACCAAATCCCTTTGAAGATACAACATACTTTTATTAGCATGCAAATAATACATATTGGGCTCCCAGCAAAGCATTGGCGGCTTGTTGGGCAGCTCTGAGCAAAAGCAGAACCCCAGCTTATATGCCCTTGGCCCACTATTTTGCAAAGGCAAGACAAAGAAGAAGGCAGACACAGTGTAAATTACAACATAACACTGGAATGTTGTTGATCAACCCATCTGGGTGACCTTATTATTATTTATCCCTTCCTACTAGGTCAGCATGACAGCTATACTATCTCTGAGATACAGTCAGTGAATAGAAACAATTTGGTTTACTGGGCCACCGGTCCCTGTTTGATTCCTCCCCCCATCACCACCCAGGGTCAATTCAGCTTGCTGTGAATGTTTCCTTACAAGGGGCATCTCATAGGTTTGGTAACGAATGTAGCTGACCTGTGTATGGGGGGTACCTTTTATATCACCACAAGTATGTTCAAAAATTGAATGCAGTTCAACATCAAATAAATCAGTGTGTGCATTGCCTTCCTCCACCTCCTCGTAAGGCCAAGTTTGGACAACACTGTCGTAAGCTATCTGACTGTCATCCCCAAATCTTCTGTTACAAATTTTGCTCCTGCCTTGGGTCCTTCAGAAATGGGGATAGACGAGTCATCTGCTGATAAGTTTGCGTTCTTCAAGCCAGCTTGACTCCTGGTGACTTCCCATAAATATCATTTTCTTGGCAGCAATGGCTTGCCATTGCTTTTTCAAGGTGCTTTTTGACTTCCCAGTCAAATCTCCAGTTCTGGAGTCTCCCTGATAGTCTCCCATCCAAGTACTAACCAGACCTGACATTGCTCAGCTTGACTCAAATGCAACCAAGTTTTATTTTATTTATTATTTATTATCAAACTTGTATCCCGCCCATCTCCCCCAATGGGTGACTCTGGGTGGCTCACAATAATAATAATAATAAAAAAAATTATTTTAACTAATAGGTTCAAAAAAAGTTTGAAAGCCCCCTTTCTAATGAAATGTGGGTTGTAGAGGAGCATTTGTATTGATGTTCTCCCCCCACTCCTGCTCCCCCTGCAGCTAGATTCAGATAAAATGCAAAAATACATTTTTGTGGTCATTGGATTCTAGGAATCCAGTCTTCTTGTTAGGAGAATGATGTCATATTAACCATCATATGGTTATTTTAAGCATTGCATGTCATGTAAACACAATAACTGTGTTCTATTAATTTGAGTTTCCTCTATTACCTCTACAACCATCACCAAGATTCCCAATTTTCCACCACAGTGAGCAGAATCAGTTATGGGTAGTTTGCTTGTCTGTCTGTCTGTCTGTCTGTCTGTCTGTCTGTCTGTCTGTCTG